AAGATGGTATGATGAAAAATGAATAAGTGTTATTAAAAGGAAAAAATTAAGATATTCYGAGATGGAAAATCTGAGTTTTCGAATCAGTTTGATTGGTCATGCTAATTCATGTGTTTTTACAAAAAAGCGAATAATTCCTTTTCCATAAATTTGGTTCAGTTTAAACGATTGGTTATGGCCCTTAAAATGTAGATACAATACTAATTATTATTTTTTTATGTAGGCTGGTTTGACTGGCTTGTTTGGTGTTTTGATTGGACTTCGCAATAAACGCCAAGGTTATCCAAATGTCAACATGGTGAGTGTTTAAAAATACAATGCATTATTCTTTTTCCTCAAAAAGCTATATCTACCATAAAGCAAGTAAGGCACTTACAGCAGTCATTTAAACAGCGATCTGCCTCATTCAAAGTTCTCAGATCAGTACATGTGTTCGATTTATTCATTTAGTAATTTGTGCACCACCATGATCTAACACTCAACTAGTTCCAGAACCCCAGGCCTTTTCTGAGATGAAAGTAAATTGCATTGCATTGTGGTCTAGATTTAGTACAAACATCTTTTGTTCATGTTACCAAATATGGCRTTGTTTGTACTGAAGCTAKACCACAATGCACCATGATTTTGTATTTCAGAAAAGGTCTATGGTAGACAAAGTCTTTGAAAATCTTTAAAATTSGAGAGTATATAGGGCAACAAATTTTGGGATAGTTTAACAGTACGTTTGGAACTGGCACTTCCTATAATAATCACAAATGTGCTCTGTTTTATTCATTTAGGTTTCAGCCATCAGAGCCATCAATACCTTGTGTGTTGGACTCTCCCTAATCTTATTTTATATGTACGGCACTGTGCAGTCCTACTTTGGCTTACGTGATGCCTACAACACAGCCATAGAGAATCTTCCTGATGATGACCCGGCCAGRAAGAAATACTTCCCAATGCCAGCCCTAAGTATCCCAATTGATGTTGTGACTAATAGCGATACAATCCAAGGTGTTTTGGCAGCCATCATGATATTATGTTTGGCTGAGATGTTTGTTGGCTGCTGGATGGCYATGCTKGATAAGGATCAGATGATGCTTCMGRCKCAAAGTCAGCARAATGCAGTAAGCGAAAAAATAATAAAAAAGAATTGGGTGTGGGGATCATCAAGTTCATTTTTAATGAATTAACGGAATCCCACAGTCAAATATTCCTTTAGTTAGAGATACATAATTTCGCTCAAATAATATTAATTCTTAATCCCATTTCAATTTTCCAAGTGCATTTTATAAATCCCAAAATCTTATTTAGCCATCAAAGGCATCTGGCTTCCATTTTGTCATCACCATCATCGTTTACATCATCATCATTATGGCACACCCCACTTACACACAAAAACAATTAAGTATAGGTTTTAAATTGCAAATAATACACAATTGCAATATAACAGTCAAAAAACTAAATCTAATAATTTTATGCTGACTGAACAGACAATCTCAAAGAACAGTAATCAAAAAAGGAGTTCATTCCTATTGTTTGGTCTGCTGTCACCGAGCTAGCACCCCCACCCCCCAACCCCCCCAGAAATTTTCTTCCGCCCCTGCCATTGTTTTCCTACCATCATTATCAAAGGCACCATGATCATCATTATTACTATGACAACCATCAYCAGAAACATCACAACATATATAGTAGACATGTGACTTTTCTTTGTTGCTATAGAGACGTCTGTTTGATAATCCAGCCAGTAATCCTTACCAACCGCAAGTCTCCCAYGTCACTGCTCCTCATCAAGAACCGCCAAAGCAGGTAATTCRTRATKTTTTGTGTTTGCAGAAAATCCAATTATAGGAGGAACTGTAWGAGATACCCCTTCATTGTAAATATAATTTTATGGAGTGTGTTTCGTCATGATGGTAATTTTTCTGCTTTTATAGATGCCTTATGGTAGTGGAGTGGTCAATCAAGCAATGTAATCGAATCACAAAGCGAAGCAACGTTGGATAAAGGTGGCAGAACATTTGATAATTTCAGAAATGATTGCAGATTGCGCAATATCGCCCCCAAAATTTATACCGTCTCTTCCCCTAAAAACACTGAACGAAAATAATCATGATTAATAAAGCTTCAATACTGGATTTCTTGCACGACCCGCAAAAGTTTCTTCGATATCAYGTATGCATGTGCACTAGTAGTAAATATGATAAAATTGTAAGCTCGAGATTTATATTAATGGGACGCCAAAATTTCACTTCAGATCGAGCATGTACGTACAAATTATTAAGTGCTCTTTCGATCTACCACAATTTGTTGTTAAATAATCTTTTAAGTTGTTTTTGAAATAATAAAACAGGGATTGAAAAATGACGAATTTTGTATGCCYTGCTTTACAGTTCCCCGGGGGATTCTCGTCTGAAATGTTCAAAAAGAACACTAATCAAAGATCCCAGAAGGCAAGGGCGTAGTTGACTGATTTTTAACCCTTAATCAATCAATCAATAAGTTCTCGTTTTTCTTTGAAAAACATTTAGGTGTCACTCTACTTGAGTGACAAGTTCAACTGTTGAGTTGACGTTCAAAACAAAGCTTGCGTATTTGCGTAGGTTCAAAGTCAATAGATTGCACAACGAATATTGTTCCAATGATAAAAACGCAGAGAAAAATCAATAAAAATCTATTCTTTTCCAACACCCTAAGAGATAGCAGAAAATGAAAATTTCCAGAAACTCCAAATTGTCGCCCCAAAAAAATCCCAATACGAATTTTTGCCAATAAGAGATCCGACGAGCATCCCCGGTACTTTTTCCCCGGAGTCACATATGTACACTTCATTCAGTACACACGCTCTTGCTTCTTCCGTTTTTCAGACCGATCTATATTTACTCTTTTTGCTTCCCTTTTTCACTTCGCAATAATTTAGTAGTTATACTATAAGAGACATTCCATATGAMATATTTATTTCTACAATGTATAAGTTTTTCGAATTTGTTGATGCTGATTTTCAATGGCGCGGCAAATCTGGATGCCGTACCCGGGATGCCGTATAAACGCCTCGCCCCATTAATTGACACGGAATTCAGAGAAACTACTACCAATAAAAAGTTTTACAACTGATTTAGTGTCACAGTAAGAACAAACTATGAGAGAAGGCATAAAAGCAGACTTGCGTCACAACCACCACGAGGGGCCCTGGGTGAGGTCCGGAAACTGTCACATGCTGATCCGATCCATCCAGCTGTTGAGAAAAAATATTCCCAGGCCCTCTCGGAATATTTTCGTGTCTGATCGTGATGGTACTTATTAGAAGAAAATMTAGTCTTTTGACTCGTGCGCCATGGCTCGACATACGTTTACCATTCTCTGTACCATGCAGATTGTCATTGGATTGCTAATGTTCTCATTTGGGATCGCTGATCGTGCAGCCATTGAACTTCAGTGTAGCTTTCTCATGCTACCGATTTGGATTGGAGCATTGGTAAGATAAGCACTGACACAACTGTAAGACTATTCGCGTTTTGTCAATATTTTATATTCATGTTTATATGAACCATCGAACGAAATTCCATCGAAACTTCTGCGAAAAATTGTTAATTTCAAAAGAGGATGTATAGTATGCAATGTGAATTTAGCTACAATTGAGGTCTTTTTTACTGAAAAGTAGGTTAAAACATGGGGCATCAATTAATTACCTTTGAGATACCCTGCAAGCAGAGTGTATTTCCTTACCTAATAATATTTTTATTGAGGTAAGGAAATACACTCAGCTCGCAGGGTACCTTTGAGATTGTGTTTGTTTTYTATCTTATAATCGCTGTTCTTAAGTTGCTGTAAAACCGATTTCATGTAAAGCATAGATTTTGGARTTCAGAAGTTTAAATGCGGGAGATAAGTTTTAAGTACCATTTGAATTTGAACTTAATGCATGGTTGAAGTTCGAAACGAAGTTCTCCAGTCTCCAGGTCCATATGTTGTGCACGATTTTATTTTTGGTGAAGACGGCTTGCAGGATTTTTTTATGGACCGTCCCTTTAGTAACCTCGAGAACGCCCTGCATAAAAACAATAGTGGCTAATATTTTTCAAATCCACTGTAACTACTGAATAATTATTTATTATATTAAAAATGAAACATTGAAGAGTGAAGAGTGAACTTGGTCATAGTTATAATTAATAAATAAAAAGTCAAATTAAATTAAGTAAATTGAACTCAAATATGAATTACTTTTAGGCTGGAATTCTTGGCTTTTATAGTCTTATTGTTGGACGCCAGAACAAACGTCAAGGCTTTGCKGATGTTGATGCAGTAAGTATGTTGTTCATTAAATTTTTTACTTTTGTTTTTTCTCCGAATGAATATCCTTTGATGCAGTGACATGCAAGGAGTCTATTGTGACGGTGTTTGTTAAGATTTTTATCATGTTCATCAGGGATCAGCCATCAAAGTTGTCAGCATAATATGTGTTGGACTTTCCTTCCTTGCGTTTTATATGTACGGTTCTGCGCTAAGYTATGTTGGTTTGCKTGAAGCCTACAACTATCGTCAGGAATTGAACTATCCAACTGGAGCGCCATTACCRAATCTACCAAGTCCACTTTGGTATAACAATTCTGATACAATTCAAGGTATATTTTCAGTAGTAGTGATCTTATGCTTTGCTGAGATGTTTGTTGGTTGTTGGCTGGCTMTAATAGATAGAAATCAAATGGTATATGGATCTTCCAATCAACCATTAAGAGTGAGTATGATTTTTCGTAGTTATTGATGGTTATATATAGTGATTAATCAGTATTATAATATCTAATATATGAAATTCATTTTTTTAAATATATTTCTAAGGGTCTTTGGCCTGGAATACCCTCTAAACACTATATAACTTTATAACTTTTCATGAATATAATTAATGAGTTTGAGAAGTGTCAATCAAATTCTGTTCTTTGATTTATGTATTTTCTATCCAGWTCCCTGTAACTCAATGCAATCAKGYAAACCAWCCCAACTATTATCAGCAGCCTRCACAACAAGGACAGCAAGCAGTACAAGTGGTGCTTCCAGGCRTTTCAATGAATAATCAACAGCTTCAGCCACAGGTATTCTTAGTTTCTAGATGAAGATGTAGAATAATATTTGATAATTTTGACTGTGATAAGGTTACAGGGACTGCAACTAATTTAGGTGTAATTATAAATTTCAGCCCCMCACTTTAAGAAATATTATCCCTCCAATTGATACAATGCTGAACTGCCACTGAAAATACAGTCTTTGTGCTAAGTTGATTCAAACTAGCGGTAAACTGCATGTAGTATGAGCTGCATTGGTGTTTCTAAAGAARCAGTTGTGAAATAAGATAAATTTTAACATTGTAAAAAACAAGTTGATAAAATATCTGACTGATGTTTTGGACATAAAATCCCTTGTTGGAGTAAAGTATAAATGTATTTGTATAATTTATTTTATATTACTACTGTAACTGTTTCTTTAGAAAAACCAATGCAGCCCATACTAGTTTACTGCTAGTTTCCACCATCCTCACCCTTTTCAATATGACAATATTTTTTCAATTAGATGTAAGTACAGGTTTCAGAAGAACTAATGAAACAATATTGCGACTGGTTTTCTTATATCACCACAGGCAGCCCAACAGAACATTCAGCCCYCTCAGGTCCAGTATATTAATCCACAACAGCAACAGACACAGCAGGGTTATGTTGTTGCACAAGGCAACACTAATTTCCCTAGCAACCAAGTATTTGTGCCTATCAACCAAGTGCAACAGGTAGTTAAGTAAATGTTTGAATGAAAAAGAAAATGAATTTCTGTAGGACAGCACCATATAGATGAGAAATTAATATGAAATACAAAAAGCCTTGCAGCATTGTTGCAGCTGTTCTTGTCAGTGTTTGTTTTTCATGGCCTATGTTTTGACAAGCTTGCAGTGGCAGCTCAGAAAAGGTGAAAAAGGAGAAACATGAACTCCATTCTTGACCAGCAACGAAAGTTGCACATTAAGTTTGGTACCTTGTGTGTTTTGTGCCCTTTGGATAACATGTGATTTATTTTGAAATGTTCAGCCGCAGTATGTTCAACGATCACCTGTTTTCATGGTTGCMAGCAACCAAAGCATGATCCCAAACAACCAAAGTGTCTTCCTTGGMAACCAAAATATGGTCCCTAGCAACCCGAATATGGTCCCTAKCAACCAGAATGTGGTCCCTAGCAACCAGAATGTGATGCCTGGAGACAGGATGCCTAACAATCAAAATATGGCACCTAGCAACCAGAACATGGTCCCCAGTAACCGAAACACTGTCCCTAGCAGCCAAAACCCAGTGTTAGCTTCAGTGCAGAGTGAAGAAGGTGAAGGTGGCAGCTCTGACCCAGACCAACGACTCATACAAAGTCAGGAGGTTTGTGCAACTGTTGACTTGGATCTTTCAATTTCTGGTATTGAATGGCTAACAGTTAAATAATTTGATGTTTTCAGAATGAATGGATCAAAATGGATTCTGATAAAAACAAGTTGATTTAATTGAATAGCAAAACCTTATGGATCAATGGAGGTAATAAAAATCCTGATCAAATCTGTACATATCAGATCTGTCAGTAAATTGGGATTATACAGATGACACTGTAAATCATTTGTAGCAATTCTTCTATTTTAAACAATTGTCTCTGTTGTTTGTATTTTAGGTTTTGATGTTGGCACACTTGGAACTACACTACCTTTATTGGACCCCTAGGGGTCTATATGGAGTACAAGACCCTTTTAAGTTGTTGTTTTTTGATAACAAAGTTGACATATCAAAGTACTGACAGCCTCACCTAGGTTTCGATTATATATTTTGTTCCAGTTCACTCTTGTTCATGTTATTTGTTATAAAAGTGTTTTTGTGTTGGAATAGGCCGTTTGCATTACATGTATGACGTAACTTTACTACAACTACCAGAAAGCCTTGCGCATTTTCATTGTTATTCAGATTTTTAATCCCCCTGGAGATTAATAAAACAATTGGCACTAATTGATTAAAAAAGAAAGTTGGCAAAGCATTCTGGTAGTTGTAGTAAATGACGCCATAATGCATATCGCCTATTTAATGCATTGTTCATGTTATTTGTTATAAAAGTGTTTTTGTGTTGGAATTACAGCTGATTGATAGTTAACATTTCACTCAAATGGACATTTTTTCATTTTGACATGATTGAGTACAATTATTGTGCAAGTTGTCAAAGTAATAGCCCATGGTGGAGAGCTCTGGTATAGCCCATGGTGGAGAACCCTGTTATACCAGGGTTAATTGACAATTTTGCAGGGTATTTTTTGTCAAAATCTCTAATCTGGGTACAATTGCTATCAATGTCAAAACCCTTCTTCGCAAGAGTGATAATAACCATCTTCAAAAACATACAAATATCCTCTCCCTGTTGTGATGTCAAAATCCCCAACCAAGGGGTACAAAAAATGTCAAATTCCCTGGGTATGCTAAAGGTCCCCCTACCAACACAGCTGGGGCTAAACTTTGATAAGTGCTTTATGCTATTTAAATTACAACCCAACTCAATCCTTGAATAAATTGTGAAAAAGAACTTTCGTTTCCACGAATTCACTATGATTAAACAATAGAACTTACTCTTGGATTGTTTGAATATATAGCAGCATGTTTTTCCAGTCAATGTAGCATACCCTTTTACCGGGCTTCCTGTCACTTCCTGTCAAAGAATTTCGAGGGACAGGACAGGAAGCCCAATTTAAAGATTATAGGCTGCAAAGAAGACTACGCGTTTAAGTGGATAAGGCAAAGATTGCAAGTTGGGCTATTGGTCTCAGATTTGAAATAATGTTTATTGATCAAAATATGAGTAGAAGTTACTGAATTTTCGTGTATGAAATGATGAAGTGATAGTTGCAATTCTTAAGTTGATCGTTAAATTTATGACTGCTGGGAAGACTTTGGGATAACACAGTTCAGAACATGGTGAACTGTAATTCTGAAGGCGGATACCCCAGTATGTCAAATTCCCTTTGTATGTCTAACAATAAGTGTATTTATACTGTATTTAATATCTTTCTTTGGAATAATATTCGACTTTAAGATATTTCAACCCATGTTCTAATGCACTAGTCAATTGAAACCCCCGCCCCCCGGGGCTAGTGGGACAGTGAACGAGGACGTGACGCGTTTTTGACGTGCTTTTAACAGCAAGATTGCCCCGGGGGTCGGGATTTTGATGAATTAGTTTAGAAGCGGGGCAAAGAGCGGAGATTTTAACGGGCGTTTGAACATGTATGAGGCTGGAAATTACCTTGCAGCATGAAACATTTTTAGTGTAGTACGCAAATGAGTACACAGGATTGTGAAAAAATTAACCTTGTCTATCATAGAAAATTTGATTGAAAGGTCTTTGTTTTGTTGTTTACTACTATCAAACTAGCGGGGCAACAGTAGCGGGGATTTTAACAATGAATGTGCTCCCGACTACTGGGGGAAATATCTTATATTTTAACACCACTCAAACGTTAAATTCCCCGGGGGTCGGACGGGGGTTTCAATTGACTGTAGAATGTACCGTTTCTGGTATCATGGAATAAATAGAGGATATTAAATGGGCGCGCGGAGATACGGATTTTATCTTCGAGTGTTGATAAGATCTCACTGAAAAAAACCCACTCTTTGAACTCTGTAAAGGTCCGTTTATACTTGCAATTTTTGAAGCGCGATTATCGTGTAAATATCATAGCGAGAATGTACATGACTTTGGACACATTGATGGTACATAGTTACATAGAATTTACAGATTTCAAAGCGCACGATTTTTGTCCTGTGCAGGTAATAATATATAGAAATAGTATATAGAGGATATTACATGGGCGCGATTTTCAACACGAGAAGATAAAATTCGTATCTCAAAGCGACCATGTAATATTCTGTTTATCATATAATTAAATATGAAAGCAAATTATGTCGGAGAATATCTTTTTTCTTACTTCCACTATATAGAGAAATAACTAGGGAAAAATATCAAGATTATGAAATGGAGAAATATAGATATTTCATAGATAATTATATGATAAATATGGTCTCTTTCATGTACAAACTGATAAAGAATTTTATCATATAATTATCTCTGAAATACCTATATTTCTCAATTTCGTAAAGTTGATATTTTCACTAGTGAAAATCGCGGTTTCTCTTATATAGTGTAAGTAAGAAAATAGCTATTTTACGACACAATTTGCTTTCATATGAAATTATATGATAAATAGAATATTACATGGTCGCTTGGAGATACGAATTTTATCTTCTCGTGTTGAAAATCGCTCACTCGTGAGAGATCTTTTCAACACTCGAAGAGAAAATCCGTATCTCCGCGCGCCCATGAAATATCCTCTATATATTATTTCTGTATATTATTACCTGACCTGCACAGGACAAAAATCGCGCGCTTTGAAATCTGTAAATTCTATGTAAATACCATCAATGTGTCCAAAGTCATGTACATTCTCGCTATGATACTTACACGATAATCGCGCTTCAAAAATTGCAAGTGTAAACGGATCTTTACAGAGTTCAAAGAGTGTTCTTTTTTTTCAGTGTACCCAGTCCCCCTCGTGATTATTTCCGGTGTCTGGCGAAGCCGATTGTAGCAATATTCAATATACCACATTCAGCATTCAAACACACCATTCAATGCTCAATACCGACGATCATTCAATGTTCAATACGATCGATTCAATGTTCAATACGATTAATTCAGTGTTCAATACTATCAATTCAATGGTCAATACGATCATTCAATGTTCAATACGATCATTCAATGTTCAACAATACGATCATTCAATGCAATACGATCGATTCAATGTCCAATACGATCATTCAATGTTCAATACGATCAGTTCAATGTTCAAGATCTATTCAATGTTCAATACGATCGATTCAATGTTCAATAAGATCAATTCAATATTCAACATTGAACCCATTCAATGTTGGTCGCTGTACAGAGGTTGTAAAACTAGACATTGACAGCAGGGTGTACTCGTGCCCTAAAGGTGTTGAAAAGTGCTCCGTACTTATTCAAAACTAGACCCTGACAGCAGGGTGTACTCGTGCCCTAAAGGTGTTGAAAAGTGCTGTCTTATTCAGTACTTTTTCAAAATGAGCTCATTTAAAACTTTTCTTGTGTTTGACGGGAGTAGGGAATCACCCGAGTTGGAATCCGAGTCGAGTTAGAGTTGGATTCGAGTTGGACTCGAGTTGGATCCCGAGTTACAACCGAGTTAAGACTGAGTTAAATAGATATTGCTTTTTTGATGTACATTGATGTAAACCGATTCAATCATTGAGATCATTTTTTCCAACAGTACTAAAAATAATATATTCATTTATTCTTTTGATTTTTATCAATCATCAATTAAAGACGTTTTTTGCACAAATTTTTGCTCAAAGAAATAAATGCATTCAAAAAATTAAAAATATGTGTAAAAATGTCTCAACATTTCTAACAAAACATACAACCATTGTTCCTGGTATAAAAATTATCTATGAAGCCTCTATTTCTATCAAATTACTAATCAAGCTGTAAATAAGTTCAAATTATATCTTCATCCCGTTTTTCAGTCGAGAAAACTATACGAAGAACTCGGTCTAATGTCATGCATTATGAGCAGCTATTGGATAAAAATAAATAGCACTATGAATAGTACTGAATACTGAAACTTACCCCCGGGTGGTTTGAATTGGCTTGAAAAAGCGTTAGCCGATTGGGTCTATGTGTGCATACACAATCAGAGCACTGTTCGTAGTTGTGAGAACTGCTAAAATCAGTGCAATAGTTTCAAACCCTGGTTTAAAGGCCATATGTTGTCAGATGTTTTTATAACATAGATACTATGAAACGCGCGCTCTGATTGGTTAATTGTTATGAACTATCAGCGGATATATCATAAACTTGCGTCAGCATTTCTTTCAGTCGCGATTTCCGTAAAAATTAACATGAAAAGATTTTAAAAATGGCAGAATTACTGGAAGAGCCTTTTTTAAACATTTTTGATGAATTTCTCTTTTAAATGATGAAAACAAAATGTTTGATGAAGCCGTAGACAAATCGATCATCGCACGCTAAATATCAAGAATATATGGTTTGATCAAAGACGAAAAAAAGCTGCATACGATAAAAAAATAGCTGTCTATGTTATAAAAGGAATGGTTCATGGTTAGCTGTGCGTATATCCAGTTCTAGATGCACTTGGGAGGTTGCTTAAGCACTCAAAAATGCTCAACCATTCCTTAATTGAAAAATTGAGACCTGAATTCGAAAGTGTTCAAAATATGATACAACATTGACCTTTGAATGAAAAATAAGTCATCAAACAACTTCCAATGAAACAATTGTGATTTTTATCGTGCAGAAGTTTGATTCCAGTCAATTTAGTGTGTTGTGGTAAAAGACAAGTTCATTTCAATGCTTACTTTTGAGAACAACCCTCAAGCATATCTTCCTTGTCCAAAGAAAGAGAGCGAACGCATGCGGCCAGTACGAAGTTCATATTTTTGTTCGTAAGGGAGTAATTTTTTGGTCAGATTCGTTAAATCTAGTTAATATATGTTATTATACTTTAAAACTATTTAACTCGGTTCTAACTCGGTTCCAACTCGATTCCAACTCGGACTCGGACTCGGATTCCAACTCGGCAAATCCCGATTCCCAAAATCTTATTACAAATATTGGATGGCTGATTTAACCCTTTAACGTCCGCTTTAGGGATTATCGTTCCTTCAGGAACGATGCTTCTAAAAATTACAAGTTTCAGAGATCGCAAAAGAAGACCACCAAATGTACTCCATGACAACAGGTAGTAGTATAACTCTATCTTAGAGTTAAAAAGATTTCAAATCAAGCGCGATACTTGGGCAAAATGGACCCCTGAAAGATAGGAATGCCCAAATTTCGACTTTTTGGTGCACCAATAAGGCTGGGAATCACGTCTTTTCGTCTCCAGTTTTAGAGTCAAAATCATCTTTTGCAAATCGAAATTCTACGTTTTTTGAAATTGCCCATTCCAGGTCTTTAGTATTTTTGCATTTTTGTTTGGTGGAAGTCCCCACAGATCTAGCCACAGGCCCGTTTTTGAGACCCAGTACAGAAAACACAGATTTCTCACTTGTGGGTTCGAACTGCATCATGGGAGTGATGTTCAATCTGGACAGGGAGCATCCAACGGTCTTGTTTTCATAGATTTTTTGCAAGTGTCAAGCCACTCGCACCTACAGGCAAAATATTGCACCGATTGCATTCTTTGGATGTTCAAACTTGCCAATTTTACCTTGGTAGGTTCTGAAATCTGCCACAGAACGACTAGGGAGGCGACCTTTCTCTAACGTCGGCAATTCAAAGCTAACTTCGTATTGGCGACATTGTCTTCGAAAAATCGCTTCCCGCCTCTGATTTCTTCCAGAAGAGTGTCTCTGCCGCCTAGTCGAGCTTAATGATGCAGTCCTAGGGGCTTCTGTGGCAGCAAATGACTCGAAAAATCACTTAAAAACGGGTTTTGGGCGAATTTGAGAGCGAGTGCTGGCTAATTTAGCGACCCGTCTCAAATTCGCCGGGCGTCGCTGATGTAAACAAACTTATAGGAATGTGAATCTACAATAGTTTGATTGACAACTCCTTATATGGGGTACATTTAATTTTTTGAAATATCAGTCTCAAAAACAAGCTAAAATACAACATAAATCGCGGACGTTAAAGGGTTAAGCACTTCGCTAATTCCTCAAAATTTGAAGTATTGGTCATTTTCTGGTCGATAAACTTCTCAATAATACGTTGTCAACAAGATGTAAGGCAGTCAAAGACCAATGACGATCAAATCAATCTCGTACTTAGAACCACTGTCCCTCTTACTCGCAGGCTCGCAACCAAAAACAGTTCAGTTTTATTCAATCTCGTACCCAGAGCCCACACTTTTGCCATCCAGCGGATGTCAATGCGTGAGAGACTCTGGAGGAAACAATTTTTTCTCGATTCGTGATTGGCTGAAAATGACGCGAGCGCGCATTGTTTTCAAATCGGTTTTTCAAGTCGGCAGCGCGCGCTCGCCTGTTTGATCAAAAATATCATACTTTTATCGCATAAACACACATGTTTTCACACATTTGTGTTTTTAAAAAGGTGTCAATGCCGTTCTTAAACTAAGTTGTGTGCTAAACCTTCTTCTTTTTTATCATTTTAATGCTCCAAAAGCAGAAAACAAAATTGACCTCATTTGCATAATTTGCGACGGAAAAGCGTCGCAAATCCAGTCGATTCCTCCAGAGTCTTTCCGGCGTCAGCATACCGCTGACATTAGCCGTGAAGACTCTGGGCTCGAGATTGAGTTTTATTCCGTTTTTCAGCCTCTGTTTTTCGTCGAGCCTGTGAGCCTGCGAGTAAGAGGGACAGTGGCGCTGGGTACGAGATTGCGATCAAATGCGCGGGAAATCTGGACATGCAGTGTTTGTGGTCAGCGGCAGGGTTGTAAATAAAAGTAGTAAAATAGTACCCAAGGGACCAACATTGAATTAATTGATCGTATTGAACATTGAATCAATCGTATTGATCATTGAATGATCGTATTGACAATGAATCAATCGTATTGATCATTGAATGATCGTATTGAACATTGAATCGATCGTATTGAACATTGAATTGATAGTATTGAACATTGAATTGATAGTATTGAACATTGAATGATCGTATTGAACATTGAATTGATAGTATTGAACATTGAATGATCGTATTGAACATTGAATGATCGTATTGTTGAACATTGAATCGATCGTATTGAACATTGAATGATCGTATTGAACATTGAATTGATATTCAAAAACTCATTAATTATTCATGAGGTATTCAGCCAATCCCTGATTGTAATTTGTACCACGTGAAGTAACTTGAAACCAGAGGAAGTACTCGTACCTTGTATTCTACCTTATTTCCAGTTACTTCTACCTTTTTCAAGTTACTTCTACATTATTTCCAGCTATTTCTACCTTATTTCCAGTTACTTCTACCATGTTTCCGACTACTACTAGCTAATGATAATCAAATTATTAGAAATAATCAGTTTAACATTAATTTAGTGAACTAGACCCTGTATGCAGGGTTGACACGTACCCCTTGTTGTGCATGATGTTGTGAGATCATTAGTAAATGAGGCCTTATTAAAACCTTACTGATACAGAATAAAGAAATGATTTGATCCATCGAGCCTTGCCAAGATATATGTGATTTTTGCGATAAGCTTATATGTGGTGGCTCTTAAAATTTCAGCTGTAACTGCCTTTGTGATTCTGCAGTATAATTTTAAGGTCAGATATACCCGGAGATATATAACTAGGCATGATTTGGTTACAACGTGACGCTTTATTAACTTTTGATATGATAGTAACACAATATTTTTGCACATCTACATTAAAACTCGACATATCTATTGCAGATGTTTGAATAGCCATGGAATTAATAAGCATTTTCTAAAGAGTTGTATTGATATTCAATCATTGGAACCCAATCACTATATCGTTGCCGTTGCTTCACGAGTAGTAAGCGTGTTGATCTCTGTAGTGAGATCTCCTCGTCATCACAATTCAACATACCCTTGGTCCGAACACCCAGACAAGTAATGAGTTCCAGATTTTGGTCGTAAACCTTCATGTTCTGTTCCATATTCGTTAGTAGAGACAATATTCATCAAAATGGCGGATAAAACATTGTGCAGAACGAGTTGGAAATGTTGCGAACGGGATTATCGACAGGCTATAGCGTTCGGAATACACAACGTAATGTGATTGGCTACCGGATATATAATTCACAATGTGATTGGCTACGAAGATGTACCGAAGCCAAACTTTCGACATTGTGAAAAAAAAACAAAAAAAAAAACAAGAAAGTGTCAGCATTTTACTACACGTACCCCCTGCATAGCAGGGTACGTGTAAAAAAGGTCTTTGATACATGACTCCCTCACAACTCGATCCCCTACCGTCCAGTCTATATGCGCCGTCTTATACCATTACACCACCGAGTTTCTGATGCGATTCCTCGGAAGATAACATACTTATAAATCTTATGGATTAGGCTCATAGGAATACCAAGAATAGCAGACAAAGACAATTTGAAAAGCTTTTGTTCTAGAAAGCCGTTCGGGAATTGAAGAACAACAAACGGTAGTTCATGTATTCAAAATTATGAAAACTGAAAACCTTRGTGGAGATGCAATAAATCAATATATTTCTGTTATATGTATTTCCTTCGCTTTTTTTCCCTCCCGAATAATTAATGAGTTTTTGAAGTCGTTCAAAGGCCTCCAATTCGGACTTGACGGGATTTCGGCTAGCGCCTCGGACTGGAACTAATTGCGCGGACTTTGAAACCCCGTCAAGTCCTCATTGTCGGCCTTTAAACATTACGTATTGAACATTGAATTAATCGTATTGAACATTGAATCGATCGTTGAACTTTGAATGATCGTCGGTATTGAACATTGAATGGTGTGTTTGAATGCTCAGATGTGGTATATTGAATATTGCTACAATCGGATTGTGACGGATCTAAATAATATTTATATAAACTGGCAAAGCTTTATATTACGTAAAGATGTCTAGTCGACCTACATTTACTATATTGTGTTGTGTACAAATTTTCATTGGATTCACAATGATTTTATTAGGAATTGGCGATCGTGTGACCGTTGCAGCTCAATGTAGCTATTTGATGTTGCCAATTTGGATTGGAGCGTTGGTAGGTAGTCGATATAATAAATATTTAATACAGTCTATTACGTTATAAGCACCGCTGGATATATGGATATAGTCGGCTTCAACGCAATTCAAACCACCCGGGAGTAAKTTTCATTGTTCGTTGTATTTTCATTCACAGTGGAATTCTTAGAAACAAAAGTTCTTTTTCCCACAGGATTTGAATTGGGTGGCAACGTGCATAGCAGTACGATTAGGTCAATTACAATTTAAACATTTCAGTGAAGCCAATTGTATTTCCATACTTCAAATAGAGGTGGAATAGATTCTGTTTAAGCACAAAATCTTTAGTACAAGACGTATGCAATTTGTTTCATTGATTGGGGTCTTTTGTTTATATTATATGGTTCGTCTCTTCTTTACATTAAAAAATTGAGAGTGCAATCAAATATTAATTATTACTATTATTTTTAGGCTGGGTTTGTTGGCTGTTATGGTCTTATCATCGGACACCAGAATAGACGCTTCCATAATAGAAATGCAGAGAGACATGGTTTTCATAATAGAGATGCAGTATGTATAAAGTTAAAAAGTTGACCATTTTCATGAAGATGTATAAATTGTGCAAACAAAATAATGGAAAAGAAATGGAATTGGAAGTATATATTAACCAATTGAATACATCAAATTAATGCATGTTATTGTTCAAAATCATTGGAAATTAAATATTCAGATTTTGAGCTTAGCCAGGGGGAGAAGGGGAAAGGGAGGGGGGGGGGAGTGTAGAAATCATTACCTCTGAGATGTGTATGTGAAGGGACTTGACTTTTAGGGAAATTACCCCCCAGACAATCTTCCCACAATGTTATTGCCTTTGAAGAATTTGGGTAACTCTTTTTCCTCCATGACCAGCTTCCGCCTCCCCACAATCATGGTTATTAAAAGTTATAACACAGGGAACCCAGATTAAGGGAAAGTAAAAAAGAACAGTTGTGTGCTGTTTATGAGGCTGTTTGGTATCCATCCATCCAGAAATCTATATTAAGGGACTTGAAACGTGTAACGCCGTGCCAACCGTTGGAATATTAATTCTTTATGATTATTTTTTTAATGTTGTCCAGGAGTCAGCTATCAAAGCCATCAACATATCCTGTGTTGGACTGTCCTTCCTTGTACTTTATTTGTATGGCTCTGTACTAAGCTTCATTGGCTTCAACAATGAATCTGGTTCAATTGTGGGTATTTTTTCAACAGCAGTGATCATGTGCTTTGCTGAGATGTTTGTTGGTTGTGGGTTGGCTATAATAGATAGAAATCAAATGGTGTGTGATTCTCCAGTACAACAATTAGGAAGAGTATGTATCATGAATAATTCATATAATTTAATTACAGTGTGTCCAATACTCCTTTTTCCAGTTCAAAGCGAATAACCGCTGCTTTAGTTGACAACAGTCTCTCATGCGAAGAGACCTGACCAAAAACAAAAGAAAGCATGAAAAAATGTTGTCATTACAATGGTGCTAGGTCGGTATTCCCAGAAGGTTCAACGTCTTGCTCAGGCTAAGCCTTGAATCGGAGAAGATTTGAATTTCTAGAGCTATTGTAATGTCAACATTTTTTCGTGCTTTCTTTTGTCCTCTACACAAGTGAGTCTGTTGTCTACTAAAACAGCGGTCACTAGCATTGAACTGGAAAAAGGCTTTATACCAAAAGTTAATAACAATTACAAGAAAATGTATTTCATCAAATAACGCGTCTTGTATGGTGAGAATCATAGCAGTGCTGCTGAAGGTCCTAATATTTCAGTGATAATGGTTAGACCAGTGAAAGTGGGTGTTTTTTATAGATAATTATATGATAATTTTTTTTATTTATAATAGCAGGGATATGGTGTTGTACGCAATATGAATTTCCCAAGTAACCAAGAAAATCTACCTGGCAACCAAACACAACTGGTGAGCAACCAATATTGTAATGAATTGAATGAAATGACATTAATGTTAATATTGGCCTAGAGGCTGTTTCTATTGCTAAAATGAATTATAGAGTGCATGCCACAATTAAGAACACCCGGTCTTGCAATGGCTAATGGTTCTAATTGGATGCTTTCAGGACAAATCAATAAAAAGGGATTCTGATGAAACCATGCTACTTTAATTTTATCAGGCTTTGAACAACATGGTACTGTCTTGGAAATAAAATAGTACATCAGTAGCAAAATTATAATTATTATAAAAAAGTGTATCAATAGCATAAAATAATTAACACATTTGTTAGCCTGCAAACAGGGGGATGAGAAGGAATGGGGAGACCCCAAGCAGGAGCACCTGAAAGCAGGCTACACATTTTTATTATATGTACTCTTGCTTTAAGTTACTGTTATATTAAACATATAGTTCAAACATGTAAACTAATCACTATAATTACTTGCATTTTAAAAATTAATTAATTAATTAATTAATTAATTAAAAATGCAATCTGAATATACTTATAGTATAGGTAAATGATTGCCTTAGACGTTGGTCAACTCTAGCTCAAGTCAATTGCTTGAAAAGAAACCAAGTTGTGAGTCCAATATCAAATATTAACTAGAGTGATTTCAGGAACCCATTATGGGCTCTTGCTGATTTGGCATTTTGCAAATGATAGTCCAACTTAATCCCTTTATGCCTATATAGTGGTATGTATGGCAGCGACAAAACTCCTCCATTCCGGCAAGTTCAGGTCTTTTCTCCCGTTTCTCAGTGATTCCAGGGGTTCCAGAACTCCTCCTCCCTCCTTCCCTGGCAGACATAGTACTTGAAATATAAGACTTTATTTTCCAAATGAATAGGGTAACACCAATAGTTTGTTCGTTGTGAACCCAAAACAACAATATTCCGCAAAAAACGGCTCATCGTGAACAGTGACCATTTACAGTACGCTCTCTCACAATGGAAGTCATAGTTCTGATGCGTTGAAGAACAGTCTTAGACTGTTTCCTCCTCAGAGGAAGAAGCACTTGAAGGCAGAACGTCACTTTCAAATTGCACAGATTGCTACGGCAGTTGTTGACTTCGTTAGATATGAACGGTGTTTTTATGCCTGGAACTCTATATTTTTTGATAAAATTTTCACAGTTAAAAGTGTGTAAATTCAAGAAAATTTCAGTGTACTTTGGATGTGCATCAGTGGTTTTTGAGAATGGGCGTGGTGACACGTGGGTTAAAAATCACGCTCATAGCAACTTGCTCGTTGTCGCTTAGAATGTACTGACCATAGTTGACCACAACTCTAAAGGAATACCAGTTAATGTAGTTCAACACGGGTTTTTATCGTCTGCGGTGCATCATTTGGTCATTGCCCTTTACNNNTTTAAACAATTGTCTCTGTTGTTTGTATTTTAGGTTTTGATGTTGGCACACTTGGAACTACACTACCTTTATTGGCACCCCTAGGGGTCTATGTGGAGTACAAGACCCTTTTGCTTTTTTGATAACAAAATTGACATATCAAAGTACTGACAGCGGCCGCACCTAGGTTTCGATTATGTATTTTGTTCCAGTTCACTCATGCAATTTATTGCATTGTTCATGTTATTTGTTATAAAAGTGTTTTTGCGTTGGAATAGGCTGTTTGCATTATGACGTAACTTTACTACAACTACCAGAGAGCCTTGCGCATTTTCATCGTTATTCAGATTTTTAATCCCCTTGGAGATAGATAAAACAATTGGCACTAATTGATTAAAAAAGAAAGTTGGCAAAGCATTCTGGTAGTTGTAGTAAATGACGCCATAATGCATATCGCCTATTTAATGCATTGTTCATGTTATTTGTTATAAAAGTGTTTTTGTGTTGGAATTACAGCTGATTGATAGTTAACATTTCACTCAAATGGACATTTTTTCATTTTGACATGATTGACTATAATTATTGTGCAATAGTTGTCAAAGGTAATAGCCCGTGGTGGAGATATCTGGTATAGCCCATGGTGGAGAACCTGTTATAACAGGGGGAATTGGCAATTTTGCAGGGGTTTTTTTGTCAAAAACCCTAATCTGGGTACCACTATCAAAGTCAAAACCCTTCTTCACAAGAGTGATAATAACCATCTTCAAAAACATACAAATATCCTCTCCCTGTTGTGATGTCAAAATCCCCAACTGAGGGATACAACAAAATGTCAAATTCCCTGTGTATGCTAAAGGTCCCCCTACTGACACAGCTGGGGCTAACTTGATAAGTTTGCTATTTAAATTGCTGCCCAATTCAATCACCTTCAATAAATTGGGAAAAAGAACTTTCATTTGTAAGAATTCAGTATGATTAAACAATAGAACTTACTCTTGGATTGTTTGAATTTATAGTAGCATGTTTTTCCAGTCACTCAGTAGCTTACCCTTTTACCGGGCTTCCTGTCACTTCCTGTCAAAGAATGAGTAAGAATTAAGAATTTCGAGGGACAGGACAGGAAGCCCAATTTAAAGATAGGCTGCAAAGAAGACTACGCGTTTAAGTGGATAAGGCAAAGGTTGCAAGTCTATTGGTCTCAGATTTGAAATAATGTTTATTGATTTAAAGATGATCAAAACATGAGTAGAAGTTACTAAATTTTCGTGGTATGTATGGCAGCGACAAAACTCCTCCATTCCGGCAAGTTCAGGTCTTTTCTCACGTTTCTCAGTGATTCCAGGGGTTCCAGAACTCCTCCTCCCTCCTTCCCTGGCAAACATAGTACTTGAAATATAAGACTTTATTTAATTTCCAAATGAATAGGGTAACACCAATAGTTTGTTCGTTGTGAACCCAAAACAACAATATTCCGCAAAAAACGGCTCATCGTGAACAGTGACCATTTACAGTACGCTCTCTCACAATGGAAGTCATAGTTCTGATGCGTTGAAGAACAGTCTTAGACTGTTTCCTCCTCNCAGATACAGATATAAAACTATTATTGTAACCTTGTTCACTTCAACGGCCTCCTGGAAGATTATGCTTACAGCACGTGCAACATCCTAAAATAAAAAGAGGATCACAATTGACAATAGTCATCCTGTCGTCCTATCTTTAAGAGCCTGGCTTGGGTTAAATAGTTAACACCGGGTTAACGCTGTTAAGGTTTGAACAAAGCTAACCCCAGGTAGACTGATTATCCCTATGGAATAGCTATTTCGAAAGAAGGCCTACTCCGGGCAAGAAAGTCGCCTTAAGTTGCCGCAACTTAATTAAGGCGACTTAAGAAAAGATAAGGATAAATAGGCCGGGCCACTGTGGCATCTTAAGGCGTCTTAAAGGAATTTGGATGAGAATTAGGTGGTGTGGTCACTTGGCGACTTAGGGCGTCTTAAAAGGCGACTTCATTATGGCATCTTTCTGGCCCGGATTAGGCCTCAACAGGTCAGGAGCGATCGGACAAATTACGAACTAAAATGAATCTGGGATATGATTTTCGATGGCAATATATAATAATAATAATAATAATAATAATAATAATAATAATAATAATAATAATAATAATAATAATAATAATAATAATAATAATAATAATAATAAAGAAGGTTTATTCATATACATGTTTTAGCACTAGTGTGAATTACAACATGTTTACATTAAAGATTTAAAAAAAATATATAATAAATATAAGAACAAGATATAATAACAATAATAATACAATAATATGATATAAATATATATATATAAGTAAGATATAAATTTGTTTGCACAAAAATCTTAGAATGTCATTGTTAATACAATAATTATTGCAAAAAGGCCATGGCTGGGAAAAAACTTTTCTTAAAACGTTCAGTTCTACAACGTGGAAGGCTTATCTTGGTACTATTACGTAGTAACCGCCCATGTACAGCTTGACGCGTTGGTGGAACGTTACCGTACAGTATTGAGCTATTGTCACACGCTGCGTTGAAAGTATTTTTGCAGATCATAGCCCTCCTTTCGGCCAAGGTGCTTAGCGAACAACGTGACAGAGCAGTTTCGTAATGGAATCCAGGAAGTATGATCTTCATTGCACGTCTTTGTATTCTCTCCAATTGCTGAACTAAATATAGTTGGATAGCATTGTTCCAGACTGAGCAAGCGTATTCCATAACAGAACGAATAAGTGCACAATATATACTTGTTAAGTGAGGTGTTGGAAGTTTTGCGCGTTTTAGAACCCTTAAAATGTAAAGTCGTTTAGATGCTTTGGTCACAATCTCGTCGATGTTTAGATTCCATTTCAGATTGTCACAGAGAGTGACGCCCAGCACTTTGTGTGACTTAACCCTTTCGAGGTGAGTTTCCTCAACCATGAGTTGGTCTACATCAGGATCTTTTGCAAGAAAAGAGATGCGTAGCTCTTTACATTTCTTTGGATTCAGATTCATGGAATTTTCCTTTGCACAACTTGTGATGTGGTCGAGGTCTGTCTGCAATACAGATTGGGTGTTGTTGGAGACTACTTCAGACAATGTGATATCATCCACGTATTTCCAATGACTTGATTTTAGGGGAGATCTTTGAGCTAAGTCATTAACCATGATGAGGAATAGGATTGGTCTCAGTTTTGTTCCCTGTGGAACACCAGCATGCACTTGGGCCCACTTGGAAAGTACACCGTTGAGCTTCACAGCTTGTCTTCTCAGTGACAGGAAGCTACACACCCATCTTATGATGCTAGTTCTTGCGCCCATACCCAGGAGCTTTCGTACAAGAATAGTGTGGTCTATATGGTCAAACGCCTTAGAAAAGTCAAGGAAACATACCCTAAGATACGTTCCTGGCGAATCCAATGATGAAAGCCAGTTGTGGATCATGTCCAATAGACAAAATGTGGTGGATCGTCCTTTCAAAGAACCAAACTGCTTTTGGGTCAATGAAGTCTTTGATATCGTTCATTAGCCAACCAACAACGAAGTCCTCTAGCAATTTAGATAGACATGCTGTTAGAGCTATGGGGCGTAGATCGCTGTCGGAAGTAACGACCGATGTCTTGGGTATAGGTGAGATATAGGCATCCTTCCACACTGTAGGGAAAACGCCGGAAGAGATGGACTGGTTAAAGATGTGGGTCACCGGCACAGCTAGCTCAAAAGCAAAGGTCTTTAGGACTCGATTTGGAATTTCATCAGGTCCGCACGCTTTAAATGGATTTAGAGAGCACAGCTTTTTATAGACTTCATCTGGTTTGATGGTAGGTAGCTCGTCAGGTGCAGGTAGGAAAGCAGGTAGAGATTCAAAATCCAGGGCTGGAACATCAGATGTCACTGAGATGAAGAACTCATTCAGTCTGTTCGCCAACTCAGTTCCTGAGAAAAGTTTGCCATTGACTTCATAGCTGATAACTTTTGTGTCACTACATTTGCCTGAAAGTTTGTTCACCAGGCTCCACCATTTTCGTGGATCTGTTGCTTTTAGGTGGCTAACTTTTTCTGTATAAAAGGCGGTTTTCCTGGCGGCAATCTCGTCCCGTACTTTAGTGCGCAGCTCTCTCCATATGCCATCTTTGTCAGAGTGGAAAGCAYGTTGCCTTTCAAGAATAAGCTGTTTGATGCGTGACGTTATCCAGGGTCTGTCAGTTGGATGGAGTCTCACCGACTTCAGAGGAAAAAACGTGTCGATTGCCACCTTTAGATCATTATTAAAAGACTCTGCCATGCTGTTAACAGAAGGCGTATTATCAGGAAACCATTCATGGTTTGAAACCCATCTCCCAAAAGCATTTATTGAAGAATCTGGGAACCGACGTATGNTTTCCAAATGAATAGGGTAACACCAATAGTTTGTTCGTTGTGAACCCAAAACAACAATATTCCGCAAAAAACGGCTCATCGTGAACAGTGACCATTTACAGTACGCTCTCTCACAATGGAAGTCATAGTTCTGATGCGTTGAAGAACAGTCTTAGACTGTTTCCTCCTCAGAGGAAGAAGCACTTGAAGGCAGAACGTCACTTTCACAAATTGCACAGATTGCTACGGCAGTTGTTGACTTCGTTAGATATGAACATTTCTAAACGGTGTTTTTATGCCTGGAACTCTATATTTTTTGATAAAATTTTCACAGTTAAAAGTGTGTAAATTCAAGAAAATTTCAGTGTACTTTGGATGTGCATCAGTGGTTTTTGAGAATGGGCGTGGTGACACGTGGGTTAAAAATYACGCTCATAGCAACTTGCTCGTTGTCGCTTAGAATGTACTGACCAYAGTTGACCACAACTCTAAAGGAATACCAGTTAATGTAGTTCAACACGGGTTTTTATCGTCTGCGGTGCATCATTTGGTCATTGCCCTTTACYTTTCTCCGTTACTGTTGTTCTGTTTTCGTTTGGCGACTGTAGATCATACGCGTGTTGTTATTAGAAGTTTGAAATATAGAGRATATTACATGGGCGCGCGGAGATACGGATTTTATCTTCGAGTGTTGAAAAGATTTTTCTTCGAGTGAGAGATTTTTAACACGAGAAGATAAAATTCGTATCTCCAAGCGAACATGTAATATTCTATTTATCATATAATTGTATTGTATATGACAGCAAATTGTGTCGTAAAATAGCTTTTTTCCTACTTCCACTATATACAGAAACCTCGAATGCGTGAAAATAACATGTTATTTTCACTAGTGAAGATATCAAGTTTACGAAATGGAGAAATATAGGTATTTCATAGATAATTATATGATATATATAAAATATTTAATACTATTACGTTATAAGCACCGCTGGATATATGGATATACTTCAAATAGAGGTAGCCTATAATTGTCTCTTTCGAAAAGTTGATATTTTCACACAACTAGCTGCATCACGCGGAGTTGTGGGGAAAAGACGTTTGGAAAGGAAATGTGTAATAATAAAATAAATTCGAAGCCACATAGACTACTCTCTCGGTCTTCCCATGATACATTGCGCGCGAGAGAGAGATGAGTGAGAACTAGTCAGTTCCTGTCGTCGAAGCACTGTGAGTCAAGCATAAAATACCATACCTTGATGTATAGCTGTCTCTATCAGTTGTTCTCCGCCTGGCCTCTTCATTTCACCCCTGGAATTTTTCCTGGAAAGTTTACGAGGCTTAAATGGTAGGCTCGTCTTTCTAGAAATTTCATGATTTCTCGAATCTGAATCAAGGAAGAACTGTGCTTGTTGTGGCTGCAAGAACCATACTAGTTTGTTGTTTTCGTCAGAAAACCGAATGATTTCGTCGTCGAGTGTCGAGATTCCCTGAACATGAATAAATGTATCAAAGATGGTGGTTAAAAATCTACTTCAATCAATGTTGTGTTCATTCTAAAAAAACTAGCTATATAAAACTCACTGTTTACTGAAGCCATCAATTTAGCTATGCTAGCTTCTAGTAGCAGATGCTATAAAGAAACAGATACAGATATAAAACTATTATTGTAACCTTGTTCACTTCAACGGCCTCCTGGCAGATTATGCTTGCAGCACGTGCAACATCCTAAAATAAAAAGAGGATCACAATTGACAATAGTCATCCTGTCGTCCTATCTTTAAGAGCCTGGCTTGGGTTAACCCCGGGTTAACGCTGTTAAGGTTTGAACAAAGCTAACCCCAGGTAGAATGATTATCCCTATGGAATAACTATTTCGAAAGAAGGCCTACTCCGGGCAGGAAAGTCGCCTTAAGTCGCCACTTAAGGCGACTTAAGAAAAAATGAGGATAAATTGGGCTGGGCACTGTGGTATCTTATGGAATTTGGATGAGAATTAGTAGGTGGTGTCACTTGGCGACTTAGGGCGTCTTAAAAGGCGACTTCATTATGGCATCTTTCTGGACCGGATTAGGCCTCAACATGTCAGGAGCGATCGGGCAAATTACGAAGGAAAGTGAATCTGGGATATGATTTTCGATGGCAATATATATTTACCCATCAATGCTGTTGTTTCTTTTAAATCTTTGAAGGTGGATATTATTTCGATGATGAGTTTCTCCGATTTGATCTCGCTATTTATATTGTCTGCCATTCTGTTAGTTCCTGTGTTTCATCTTTGTCAAGCTGTCTGTCCCTTTGTTTATCTGCCTATCTGTCTTTCTGTCTGTCTGTCTGTCTGTTTGTTTGTCTGCATTACCTCACGTGACAAATCCAGCAGTKCCTCAGGAGCAGTGTGCGTCACGTGAATGCCATTTTTATCGTACGTTATATCATGAAGGCTAAATATTGGCTTGTTGGTGTGTYGTCGATGACACCATGAGGCTGTCCTTGAGTCAAATCGATACTGCAAGATAAATTTTGACTWGTGATGCTATGTTAAGATTCACATCTTAGCCGACGCAAAAAGTATCTTGTCTAGACTTTTTAGGGCTTTTCGCAACTGCCGCGCCGGTCTATCACAAATATACCACAGCTCAATAGCCAATCAAAATGCACRCTGTCARTGWGTGCTATCTTATAGACGATTTAACCCACAGACAGCCCAAGCTGAAAGGGCAATAAATAACAACAACAGAATATTTGAAATAAAGTTTTCCTACCTTGAGTTGAGCTTATTTCCGTTTCTGTTATTTTTATATTTGCTATTTATGGGCTATCAGCTTGGGCTGCCTGTGTTCAGCTTGGGCTGCCTGTGTTTAACCTAGCTTCAGTTTCATTCTCACCTGAGGAAGAAGTTTCCATCCATGGTTTGCTACCATGTCCACTGCCTCTAGGACAAAATCAATCTCAGCATCGTCCATAAAGTACGGCAGATTGATTCGAGCGAAACCAGGCCTAAATAGGCAACATGTGTATAAAAACATAACACTTCGGGGTTCCTGTGGTGAAAAACAGGTCAGAGAACACGTGCAACAAGTGATCATGCGCAACGATAGACAACTATGCAATCTCTTACCCAGCGCTATGTCCCTCTTACTGCGCMTGCTCGACGAAAAATATTGCTCCTAATTGACAACTATGAGTAACTGTTTTTATCTGTGAAAGAGGGCACCTATCTTTGCACGGAAGGGTTACGACCGTTGAGTGCGCAAGATGTTGCAGGTCGCCAAGGAAAAGAGAGGAGTTACGTTGCTACAATCGTAGCTAATCGTTGACAAAATCTTTGGACCATTTCAGCGAACTTCTCATTTTAAACATCACACGCAGACAATTTCATGCCCCCCTGACCCCCTTAATGCAATTTTGTCATTGATCATGTTACCATAGTACACATGCATCCAAAACAAGACCCAACATTGATGAAAGGGGGCTGAGGAGGAGAACTGTAAAAAAATGTTAGGCTGGAGACAAATAATTCTATAGTCCAAGGATTTTTGGCAACGACTGTAGGTCCCTCACCTTTTAAGTCGATAAGCAATATTCAAACGCAAAGCCATAGATTATTATTGGGTGTCCTGGTCAATTATCGAAAGAGATAGGAATGCAATACAATTTTCACATATAGTTTTTGTCCGGAAGATCGTGTATTGTCTTGTTGCATACAGAGAGACAACTCAGAAAACTGTCAACACTTACCTCATTATCTCCAGAAGCTGCTCATCTCTGTTGTATCAAAATKAAAAACTAAATTCTTACAAAGCGCTTGCATCAGTCAATTGAATCCCCGGCCCCCAAACCCCTTAGAAGAGCAGGGGAATTGTCAAGTTGGATGACTAAGTACAGAAGAACGCACATGACACGAGGCTCTGGGAAAACAATGGATTATATCTTTACCCGGAGCCTCGTCTTCAATTTTTTTGTGCTTGCTCACTGAACCAAAATATCTTATGGCCGGCGATTTAACATTGTTTTGGGAGCACAATTAACGAGAGAATTAACATCTAAATCAATTTAACCTCTAAATAATTTTTTTCCCATGACAGGCACGCCTGTAATAATCATTATCATCATCATCATTATTATCATCATCATTATTATCATTATTATTATATTATTATTATTATTATTATTATTATTATTATTATTATTATTATCAATATTATTAGTAGTAGTAGCAGCAGCAGCAGCAGCAGCAGCAGCAGCAGCAGCAGCAGCAGTAGTAGTAGTA